GCATACTTTAACATATAATTTTCAAATGCCTACTTTCTCATACAAATTTAAAACAACACTTTCTTGATATTTGAAGTTTTAAGATCTGTATTCTGAGTATTGATACAAGAGGCGATCAATAAGTAACGCCCCTGACATGCTTCCAGATGTTTGATCGAGCTGAAATTTTGCATGTGAAATTATTTATATCTCTATTTATTAAATAGCAAATTACAGCTCTGAACAAATTGTGGTTTCTGATTTACAGGTGTTCAAACTGAGTCAAGTCTGTGTTTTTGCATTTGAAAGGATACACACAACCAGAGACTTTTGATCAAATGAAAATAACTTATAGTAATAATGTCCCATAATATAACCTTTTAAAACATTTTGCAAGGTCGTATAACTGGCATCATCACCATAAGTTACTTTAATTTCATCAAAAGTCTCCGCCCTGTGGTTTGATTCCTTTCCAGTAGATAAACCGGATCACTGCTCAACACTCAACAGGCTCCATTTCAGACTTTACTCAGTTCAAACACCTGTAAGTCAGAAACCATAAATAGTTCAGAGCTGTAATTTGCTACTTAATCTATAGAGATTTAAATAACATCACATTCAAAATTTCAGCTTCATCAAACATCTGGAAGTGGGTTAGGGGCAGTAAACCCTCCTGAAGGCCCCCTTCTATTCTGGAGGCTCTAACAGAAATATCAACATAATTCTTGGAGCCTTTTGTTCTTATTTATAAATAAGTGGATATAATGAAAAACATTTAATATTCAATCACACAAAAAAAATATTTTAATATTTCCATAATTTTCATTGAGCTCCAAAGCTAACGCTAAGCTGGTGTCTCCATCGTTGAGCTCTGGCTGTTCTTCAAATATTCCTTTTGTCTAAAACATGGAGATCCTGTTGTATAAATATGAATGTTCTGTTTTTCAGGTGTTCACATTTACCAGGCCATGTATGGCTGTCAGTGGGATGATGAAACGAAGCAGATTAATGGATACCAGCAGTACGGTTATGATGGAGAAGATTTTATTTCCTTTGACCTGAACACTGGAACATGGGTGGCTCCAAAACCTCAAGGCCTCATCACCAAACACCAATGGGACGCTGACCGAGCTTTGATTGAACGAGCTAAAAATGATCTCACCCAGCGTTGTCCAGAATATCTGGAGATGTATGTGGTTTACGGGAGCCACACTCTGACGAGAAAAGGTAGAAATTAGACCACATTAGGTCGGGAAAAAAATGTGTTACTGTGGGAATAATGTTAGATAAAAACTGTTTCCTGTATTTTTCCCAGATCTTCCCTCAGTGTCTTTTCTTCAGAGGTCTTCCTCGTCTCAAGTCAGCTGCTTTGCTACAGGTTTTTATCCCAGTAAGGCTGAAATGTTCTGGAGGAAAGATGGAGCAGAGATCCACAATGGTGTGGAGAAAGGAGAGATCCTCCCTAACAATGATGGAACCTACCAGATGTCTGCTGACATCGATCTTTCATCTGTTCCACCTGAAGACAGGACCAAGTATGAATGTGTGTTTCAGCTCTCTGGTGAGAAAGATCTCATCCATGAACTGAAGAAAACAAAAATAAAAACCAATAAAAACCACAGCATGCTAAATGCTTGCAGTGTCTTCAAAGACACAACAATATTAACTATTTCAGGAATCATTTCATTCATAATTATTTTAACACTTTGAAACCCTTATAAAAAACACATGTAATTTAAAGATGTGATGATGTTTCAACAAAAAATGTCTCTTTGTCCAGGAAGATGATAACTAATGATAGCATCTTTATTGCATTAAAACATAAAATAAAAAAATCTATCCATTAATTTTATTAAAAATAAATGAAATATATTTATTCCCTTTTTTATTTTGTTTGTGTCCTGTGCTGTTAACATAGTTTGGAGATTCGATGCCCCATCAAAGGAGACAGAGATAGAAAAGAAAAAAGAACAGCAAAATAAACAACACAGAAGATAAATAGTAATTTCTAGAAGCTGCTTGCACACCGCATGAGATAAGAGGGAAAGAAAACAGAGAACAAAACAAAATAGGTAAAGAGAAGACAAAATACAAAAAAAGTAAACATAAATCTATCTTAAAGAGCAGCGAGTATATATTAGATTCTTAGTCAGTACACGTGTATGGAAAGTAAAACATCTGGTGATTACACAATATTATTCAGAATGGTATATATCTGTAGCTGCAGCTTAGTATTTAGCATTAGTGTGCATCAAAGAGCACCTGGAAAAAAACTCCTGTATGTATGAATGGGAATGATCATGTATAAAGGATTTACTAGCTTCATCAGAAGGAAAATAAGCCCAATAGCAGGTGTGGGCGGCCCCAGACTCACACTACAGGGCCCAGGATTGAGATCACTGGGATACAGGGAGAGCATAAAAGATTATTACAAAACCTTTCTGTATCACTACTTTGGGATTCAGGAGACTTTCTGACCTTCTGAATTTTAATTTGATTCACTTGTTCTTAAATACTTCATAGACTCCAAACGCCAACATTGGGGGATTAATAAAAATGAAATCGGCTACTAACAGAGAGCCACTCAATGGTTAGAGTAGACAGAGAAATAGCACTTTGTTGTATGACTAACTATACATGTATGTGTGTAAGACCAGCATCCCATTCACTTTAAAAAATGCTGGAAGTTTAACACCTTTAAGACTAAAGTTAGCATCTGGTTTAAAACCAGTCAACATGATCTCCATTAAAATACATCTGGTCAATCTTTCTATGTTTAATGAAATGCTTTTTTTCTTATGATTTTATTGCATATTTGTAAAATAATGTGTGATTTGAACTTTGTTGATTTTTAGGCTGGCTTTAGGGGATTACCAGTGGAAATTAGCTTCATTCTCCAAACTCTGGTATATTTACATTGTCTACTATTTATGATTGTGCACTGTCCCTTTGCAAACAAATAAACCACAACTGGACTTTATTGATTTTAAATGGAAGATAATACATTTTTTTTAAAGGGAGAACCAGGGGTGTGCTGGAGTTGTAAGTCCTGCCCTGATCTAGTTCTCCTTTGTCTCTGTGTCCCTTTTCAGTTATGTTTTTTAAATGGAAACATTAAGGAAGATGAAACGTCTTTCATTTAAAAACGATAAATCAAAAAAGATTTCTATGCATAATAGATTTTAAAAGGTGTTATTATAATATTTGTGACTTTTTAAAGATTATAAAGGCATTGATATTCATTTATACTCTGAAAAATGATTTCTATCCAAAAGAAACATTTTACAACATATAAGCCACTAGATGGGGCAGTTCGACTTTCACAACCTTTGTTTTGCATCAAAGAAAAAATTAAATAAATGAAATTTTGGCCCTTTAAATTGGGGCTGTTAAGTTTTAAACACTTTCTAGAAGAATTGAAAAAAATATATGTTTCACATTATTTAAAAAAAAAAAAAAAAAGCAAAAGACATAAAATATATATTTCTTTTGCTTTTACTTTCATTACCAACCCTAATTTATCAGTTCTACCTGGATATAAGTGATGTGAGACCATTGAACGGAGAGATGAAAAGCTGTTGATGTCAACATGGTGGTTTTGCTGTTCCTGAGATTACAAGAAACTACAACAGGACGGATGACCATGTTTAGTAACTGAACAGTAAGCTAGATATTTTGAGGTTTTCCTCTCATCATTTTTATAATTTCTTTTTGTTGTCAGGCCCTTTGTTGCTATTTTGAATAGTGATATCAATACAAGTGTGTTCCCTGGGGTCTTAAAGAACTTCATTGTGCATCCTTTAATTAAAAATAAAAGAGCATCTATTAAAAAAAACATTAATTTTCTCAAACTCATGATTAAACTCAGACTATTTCATTGACAATCTCACCCGACCAACTGAAACAAATAGAGCTTTTTCCCAGTAGACCATTAAAAAGCATTTTATACTTGAGCCCCAAGAATAACAAGCACACATTTTGCTCAGGAACCCCCCACATATGACAGGGGCACAGGGGGTCATTGGGTTATTGGACATGTTGGTGTGCACGCATACTAACACACAGCATAGAGAATAAACTCCATGCAGAGACCTTAGGCTGGGATTCAAACCCCTGACCTTCTTATTTGTAGAATTTCAGTGTGCTCAGCTTTTATTTGGAATTATACATTAGATTCAAACAACCATTTTATTATTTGCTCTTCTAATAATTTTGAATGTAGAAGTCGGTTGAAAAAATAATTAAAAAACTGAAGAGAGAAAAAAATGCAATGTCTTCTATATTCAACATCCTTTGATTGATGTTTCACAACTTTTTCTAAAATCTAAAATATCATGGATGGGTAAAAATCTAACTGTTAGAGAAATGATAATGTCAATATCCTAAAGCAGGTATTAGTTACGACAAAAATCTTGTCTTCTAGAGCCTTTATATTACTAAAAGCTCTAACAACGGTAGCTCTTTATGTCTTTCTAGAATTTGGGATTTGATTTAAACTCTTAAAAACAACAGAAAAACTTCTGAACTCTTATGAAGGTCTCAAAGCCACCACTAGAGGGGGCAGTAAGACTTCCATGAAAGGTATTCTTTTATTTTTACTTTCATTAGCAACCCTAATGTGTCAGTTCTACCTGGATATAAGTGATGTCATTGAACAGAGAAATGAAAAGCTGTTGATGTCAATATGGTGACCTTTATTTAGCTGTTCCCCCATGAGACACCTAGGCACCTTGTTTTTTTGTTTCTAAAATATTATTTTTTATCATTTCTGTTTGATATGTGTAGCATCTTAGTCAGTAATATGCAATTTTTGAATGGGCTTCATAAATAAATTGGTTTCTTTGCCGTTTCACTATGAGAGAAAGTATATTTTATCCTAATCCGTTTTGTAATAGATGCAGTTAATCATCATATATAGCTGATATAGCAGCTAAGTGTAGTTTTGTACAGTGAGTATCATGTGTGATGCAGCCAGAATAATGATGACTATATATGCAGATATTTGTTATAATGCTTTCAAACAAATACAATTATCAAATGTTGTGGGCACATCACCCAGATTTGTGACACATTAGGAGTAACATAGTAAAAAGTAGGAAGAATTCAAATGAAGAAAAAGAGCCAAACATCTAATTTCTGGCAAAAGAGGGGTTTAATTTTATTTTTAACTGAAAAGTTTGGAATTTTAAGTTTTGAAGGTTTTAAATTGGGCCTATTTTCTTCAAATTCTCACCTAGTCCACAGAAAAAAAACAGTTTAGTAATCCACATGCACAGATTGTAAAACTGTCTCACATAACTAAATACAGTTTAGTAAAGCGTGAGCATAGATTTCCACCAGCTTTGTGGGTTTTTTTTTTCAGCTGCTGATAATTGCTGGGCTCAATAAATAAGCTACATCAGGCAAGTTAAGTGTTCATCTTACTAACAAATGGGTGATTGGACATGTTTGAATGCTCACATACACCTAAACATACAGAAATGTAAAAAACCAAAACATTGACCTTATAACCAACAGGGAGGACATTCAAACCCCATGCAGAGAGCTTAGGTTGGGATTCAATCCCAGGACCTGATTATTTTTCCCTGTAGAATTTCAGGGACACATATAATAGGGACATTTGCTCTTATTTTAATTTTGAATGTCAAAGTCATTAGAAAAAATAAAAACTTTGATTAGTATTTCAAAACTTAAATAAACTTAAATAATAAAATAATAAATAATAAACTTTAATAAAAGTATCATGGATGGGTAGAAATCTAAAAGGATACAAAAATAATAAAACTAAAAGAATACTTTCTCATAAGACAAAACTTATGCTGTCAATAGCCTTTACATTAATACATAAATAAATGCAGCTATAACAGTCTACAGACTTGGGGGGGAGGAACAACAAAGGAACAACATAAATTTTTTTTGGTCTGAATGCCAGGTGTGCAGACCTTTACCATTAGAGGGTGCCCTTGACCAGAAAGAATAACTCTCTAACTCACTAACTGCGCTAAAAATGACCCCAAAATAAAAATCATTCTGCATTTAATAGGATCCAGAAATTAAACGCTGAACCCAGAATCATTAGGTAGATGCAAGCTGTATAATTTGTACCAACCTGTATAATTTGTAGAATAATGAGCATATAATTTGTTTTTGGTGTTAATATAAACGATCAGTATCAGTAGGAGAGAAATGGCAGCAGAAACTTAAATCCATGAACATCTCCGGTCGTCACGTGGTTAAAGAAGCAGCTTCATGGTACGGAGCCCATAGATATCCATAATAAAGGCTAGATGTCTTACAGCGGAGTCTCAAACAGCATCACCGGCGGCCATCTTACCTCAGGCAGGCTTTCTGTTGTGCTCTGTGGTACCTAATGTAAGGTGAGTGATCAGCACGAACACAAATACTCTTATCTCACTGANCATGAGACACCTAGGCACCTTGTTTTTTTGTTTCTAAAATATTATTTTTTATCATTTCTGTTTGATATGTGTAGCATCTTAGTCAGTAATATGCAATTTTTGAATGGGCTTCATAAATAAATTGGTTTCTTTGCCGTTTCACTATGAGAGAAAGTATATTTTATCCTAATCCGTTTTGTAATAGATGCAGTTAATCATCATATATAGCTGATATAGCAGCTAAGTGTAGTTTTGTACAGTGAGTATCATGTGTGATGCTGCAAAAATAATGATGAATATATATGCTCATATTTGTTATAATGCTTTCAAACAAATACAATGATCTTACCCACATTTGTTACACATTAGGAGTAACGTAGTAATAAGCAAGAAAAATGCAAATGTAGAAAAAGAGCCAAAAGTCAAATTTCTGACAAAAGAGGGATTTAATTTAATTTTATTGAAAAATGTGGCCTTTGAACAGCCTAAACATTTTTGGTCTCAATGCCAGGGGTTCAGACCTTTACCACTAGAGGGGGCCCCGGACCAGAGAGAGAAACTGCTCTAAAAATGACCCAAAGATAAAAAATCATTCTGTTTTTAATAGGATCAAGAAATTAAACACTTAACCCAGAAACATTTGATAGATGCAAGCTGTATAATTTGTACTTAGATAGAATAATGTGAATATGTTTTGTTTTTGTTAAACGATCAGTATCAGAGAGAAATTGCAGCATTAATCCCTGGTTATGAAGAAACTGTAATCGATGAGCGTCTCAGGTTATCACGTGGGTAAAGAAGCAGCTTCATGGTTTCATTTTCGATGACAACCCCAACAGCTAAATTTCACCTGGATTTATATGACGTGCTGCATCATACTATTTTCTTATTGGTCAGGATTCATGGTAACGCCCCTTTTTCGTCCTAGATCAGGGAGTTTCTCTCAAACTGGAGCCTCAGATTATTTCTGAACCCAACAGATCCAGATGGTGACAGAGGACAAAATGATCAAGTTGTTGGTTTTGGTTCTTCTGGGAATAAACAGCGCAGCAGCTGGTAAGATAACAGAATATTTTTATCTTGTTTTTTATAATGCTATAAATAAATGTAAATTTTCTGTTAATTTCCAGGCTAATAAGGTAGCATTATAACCAAGCAATTAGTTAACCTGATATGTTTTCCAAGCACAACATTAACATTTAAACAGTTCAGTTAAACTAATTCTCCCTTTTCTCTGGTTTTAACCTTAACTTTGACGTATTAAGCAGGAAACTAGGAAACAATAGTTTAGAAGTGTGTAAAATGTTATTAAATCATCGGGGTTATAAAAAGCTTTGAATGGAAACACAGGAAATAAACAAATATTAAAGCGATCAAAAAGTATTAAATAAATAATAAATCTGATAATGTGTTTTAAATATATCTTACCATCCCTAAGTTTTTCTCAGGTTGTTAATATAAAGTCTTTCTAATTAACTATATTTACTATATATATCTAATGTAGTCCAGTCCACATTATTAAATGTTTTATGTGTGAGAAGCATAAATATTAATATTTATGGTGAGAAGGAGCTGAGACAGCAACACGGGACGACGTCACTCTGTGATTTGTTTCTCAAGATTTTTGCGCCTCAGACTTTATAATAAAGACCAGTCATGGCTCTAAGCATAGACTCTATTCTCTGAATAAATATCTGTAGCACTGGATAGCTTCCATAATGTGATGAGGAAATAGAACCATTGAACATCCTGGTTTATCAGGCCTGATTAATTGATGTTCCCTCTGCTGAGAAGCTTGGTGGTCTGAGATTAACAGGCTAGACTAAGATCCCAACATTAAAACCAGTGATAAACATGACTACAGGCCTAAACCTACAACTTACAGCAGGCTTTTCCATATTTCAGTCATTCTGTCTTGATCACAGGAGAAAAGGCCGTGTCTTTATCCTGCAGACAAAGATGAAATGTTTGTCTTTTTTTTTTTTTTTTTTTTTTTTTTTAAATTAGTGTTGCGCTGATGCCATTTTTTGGCACCGATACCAGATACCTGGCTGTGCAGTATCGGCCGATACCGTTACCATAATAATGTAAAATATTTGCCATCATGGCTTTTTCAAGCTGCTGCCTACCTTTGTGAAGCAGGAAAAATTCTAATACAAAGTGAATCCAGTAGAACTTTTTATTCCCTACCTGGAATGGGTGACAATAGTTGAATAAACTAATGGCTCTCAAAATGGTATCGGTGCCCTATTTGTTGGTACTCACTGATACCGATACCACCATTTTAGGGCAGTATTGGGGCCCCGTCCGATACTGGTATCGGTGCAACACTAGTTTAAATAATTTTGTTAAAGGTATCCAGTAGCTGTAATGATCAGAACGTGATTTGAATTGTAAAAGATTATTATGAGGGCTGAGACAGTTAATCCAATAAAAAAAAAAAAAGACATAAATTCCAAGAAATGTAGTTATAAAAAAATTGTTCATTTGAATATACTGACTAAAAAGTGACATTTGAAGAAAGAACAAGCTACTTAAAGCTTCATTTTAGCAAAAAGTGTGTTTACAGTTTGGATTTAAATGTCAAATCATTCTGGCTTAAACATTTATATAAATGTATCTTTATAGGACCATATGGTCCCGAAAGGTAGGAAATTCCTATAAAAAAAATAAAAAATCCTGTCTTAACGTCTGTGTTTTTTTTATTATTATTATTAGCCAGTTAGTTATATGTCATCTTTAACACCTAAATTCGGCCAATAATATATCAACGGTGATCTGTCAAATGTTTTCAGTCATAGCATCTTGATTTATATGTCTCAGCTAATATACGCAGTGGTTAAAATAAGAAATAATAATTTCCTTTCCCATTGAGTTGCGTCCCAGTGTTCAGGGGGATGGACGTCTGTGTCTTTAGCAGGCGTACAGCTAACAGAACTGGCAGCGTTGCGAGGCAAGGGCTCAAACATGTACGGCTGGAAGCCTTCTACACCAAACCAAGCTTCTGCCGCCCTGGCGTCCT